GGCATTCATTCTTCCTTTCCTTAGTACTTTCAGTTGAATTAAGAAAAATAAAAGATATCTTACTCCTTTCTTAAAGCACTGTCTTCACTTACATTGCTGTCAGAATTATAATTATACTATTGTGACAGAGTAACTGTGGTTGAGCAGTCTGTGAAGAGCTTTGGGAGTTTTACTTTTGCTGAATCTCATCTGGAGATAAGTGTGGGGAGGACAGAGGGGGCTTTTTTCTTACCTGACTCTCACTCCAGGTACCCCATTTGGTTTGTTAGCTGCCGCCCTTGTGATACCTGCCTAGGTACCACAGCTAACAGTGCTGCCTTTGAAAGGAGAACGTAGGAAAATATTCCACCACTTAAATCTGTGCTCTGTAGGCACCCCCGATGGGCATCTTGGGCTACAGACCAGTACCTTTAGTTTTATGGTACCAATGACATTTCTCATAAAACTGTTTTAGAGTCTGACAAGATTTTGCTGTCCCCTCTGTTGTATCATATTACAGACTTAAATTGCTTCTTATTATAAAGCATAACACAGAGTTAACATCAAGTATAGCTAAATTACATTTTCCTTCATCCTTTTTGTTCTTAATTATCACAGTCACGTTACTATGAAGTTTCATTCTGTCACCAAATGTAGAGCCCTGGGTTTCAGAGGAGTGCTGTTGACAGGAGAAGCACATTTAGCAAGTGCTACCAGCATCATGTAGATTGGAAATTTTTTGTCCTAGCTTCTCATCTTGCAGCTAGTTCCATATGGGCAGCTTTAATGCATTTTGATTTAGGGAATTGTAACAAATGCTGAATTCTGATTTCTGTAACTGCGTCAGGAGTCTAACAGACTTGTTGCTAGTGTGAGTGCTGCTGCATCCATGTGAACGCTGATAACGCTGCGCTGGAAAAGCTGTTCTTCATCTTCCTGAAACCTGAGAGCCAGCATTCAGCAGAGTTAGGTTTAAAGGAACTGGTGTGACCCCATGGACCCCTAAAGTTTAACCTTGTGTCTTCTCAAATGCACCATCTGAAGTCACACTTGTAAATTAAATCTGTTCAGGAGACTAGCTTGGGTAGAGCGTGGTTATAAATCCTTTGTCTTATCTGGATCAGTATATATCCCTCAGTGAAGTGACATAATGAATATTTACTTAGGAAGCAGATGTAGCCAATTAACTTTATTCTGTCAATTTATCTAATTTACTTTAAAAAATAAATCCAGCTTTTATGTATGAAGTAAAAACTCCTTAATTTTGCAAAGAATATTTTGTCATTTCAATTAATTTGCTTTGTTATTTTGTCTGAGGTTTTTTTAGCCCATATTTTAAAAAATTAATCAAGTGATTCTTTTATTGAGAATGTACAGGTGGTGCCTTTACTGAATTTATGATGTTCTATAAGCTAATTTAGGAGGGCAGCAGGCTGGCAGCAAGGAACTGCAGATGTGTGGCCAAAACCCTGAAGTTGTCATCAGATCCATTGCTCCATCGGGATTTTGTGTTTTAAAAGGCAGAAATAGAGGAGGGTTTTGTGTCCATGTGGATTCCACAGAGGAAGACAGGAGCTGGATCTTTTGGTGATGAAAGATGGGCTGTCACTCACCACAGTGCTCAAGGTTCAAGGTGAGGTGCTTGAAGCCTTTGCTTGCAATGAAAATGGGAGTCTTTTGAATGGCAGGAGAGCTTCTGTGAATGAAGAGCTACTTGAGCCCCTAGAAGCACCTCCCATGCCAGTCTCTTTAGTGCCCAACAGATGGAGGAGAGTATTTCTTCTGAGTGTATCAGTGTAATAGAAAATTGCAGACAGAGTAAAGGTTCCTTATTTCCAGTTTTCAGCCCAGGGTTTTTGCTGTCCTCTGTGGGAACGGAGAAGTTAGATTTACACTGTGGGGAGGCAGTTCCCTCCTTGTGCCTTTCTGCAGCACCAGGTCAGTGCTCTGCAGTGACAGAGAGTCCAAGGCAGTGACTCCAGTGCTGGCTTGCAGCTCAGTGCACAACCGAGGTGTTGCCTGAGGCACGGCTGCACTTTCTGCTCCTCTCTGCAGTCATCCAAGTGGGTGTAACCCCACCGTCCTGTCCTTGTGGAGATCATTGCAGAGGCAGAGACTGCTGTGAATAGGTCTGGTACGTTTTGCTGGAGCCTTAGAGAGTGTGGATTTGTTTACTTCCAAAAAAGGTTACCTTGGTATGTATATAGAAAATAAGTAGGGTATGGCTGGCTGAGGATGATCCCCAGTGGAAATATGCAAGTGGTAGAAGCCAAGTGTGATGTCTCGTCTCTGCTCTTTGAGCTCGTGTCTCTTCACCCCAATAATGTCGTAATTGCAGGGATTTTCAGGTTGCTAATGAAGCATGGTTATCTTTTACACCACTGGAAGTGAGACACCACTTCAGCTGTGAAATAGAAATTTCACAAACCTCAACCAGGTGTAATGAAATTGTTTAACAATTTTCTCCTTTATCTGAGTGCAGTTATTGTTACAGCTTTGTGTTACTTCTGACATTGCAGCAGTCTTATCTCAGAAGTAGGAGGGGTTTCAAACACAGCGTTTTCTTCCTCTTACAGGTTAGGAATTCCCCTTCTCACATTATAGCCCGATCCTTTTCTGTATTGCCAGCAGGAGCATACAAGAGGATAGCAGACAGTAGCAGGCAGAGAGTTACTGCACTTCACTTCTGGCTTCTAGCGCATAGATGCCCTTGCCCTGACTTGGTGCATGATTACCAGAGTTTGGCACCGAACTGGTGCCACACTTAATTGTGACTGATTCATTGGGCTGAAATATGTCGCTAATTTAATTCAGCTATTTCATTAATCTGATTGAATTGCATCCAGCTGTTAGAGGTGTGTGAAAGAAAGGTACCTGGCACATGAGGCAAGAGCACTAACCTCTGCATTAAACTATAAAACAGTCATTAGGACATCTAATGCTGAAATTGAATTGCTCCATAGAAATTTGGTTTCCAAGCACAATACTAATTAGCTGTAAGCTTGATGAATGTCAAGAATTAATTAAAGCATTTCAGTGGCTTGTGTGGGTTTTAAATATTGTCATTATTGCCCCAATATTTTCAGTTCTTACACTAATTGCTTTTTAGAGAGCATGAATGGGATTATTCTGGAGTGACTGAGGGTACAAACAGTTCATTGCATCATTGAAATCGACCTTCTTGCCTTTGGACTTCCCTTTTTTCCCCCTAAAATTTATCTGCTGTTTTTCTTCCACTTTTGAGTGTGCATTGCAAGTAGAAAGGTAAAATCAGTAATTTTAGACCCAAACTTTATTTTGACAGCACTTCTAGTTTTTCTTTTAGGTATACTCTGGAGGCCAGCATGCCATTGTCACCTACTTTCATTTTGGTAATGAGAAAACAGCTACAGCTCAATCAAATATTTTTTTTTATTTTTAATTAAACAGAATGTCGGCCAAAATCCATGATTATTTTGTCCTGTTAATGAAAGGCCTGCAACAGTTTAGACATTTGGTACATGAAATGTCCACAAGATAAAAAACATGTTAGGAAATTACAAATTGAAAGGGAATTCATAATCAAAATCAGCTTTTGGTTGTTTCTTGAATATGTTCTTAATGTAAAAATAGCAAAATTCTTGGTGCAGGAATTGCAAATGCATAGTGGAGGCTGTTCATATTCATTGATTCTGCTGAGTGTCTCCACGTTCGGCTACACAGTAAGGATGAACGTCCAACATGCCATGTTACAGACTGCAGACATATGTGCAACAAATACGGGAGATGACACGACATGGGAAGAGCCTTAACACTTGTAGGGCTCATAGGGAAGTTCCTCTCTCTCTCTGTGTCGAGCAATGCCAGAAACCACAGACTCCCAGGCTACAGCTTGGTGCCGTTGCCCTGTTGCTTGCTTCATACACGATCACATATGACAGTGCTCAGTGCCTTTCCTTGGGACGACGCAGGGGAAGGATGGGGACGCTTCACTGTGTGTCTGCGAGATGGAGGTGGTGCTGCTGAGGCGGGGGGAATTGAAAGGATCTTTTACAGTGCTGCGTTATTGGCTTGTCTGTGTAGATGTGACGAATCCACCGTGCCTACAGGAGCTCAGTGGTGGTGTTTTCCATAGCAGTCATTTTAGCTCCCAGCAGTTCAGATTCAGGACCTTTTACGGAAGGTTAGGTTAATTTTCACCCTGAGGCTTGCTTACAGAAATAAGATTGTGCTTTGATTTTTTTTTTGTGAGGTTAGATGGTTACTGTTTGATAACAGCATTAAGTATGATGTCTCAGAAGTCTAGAAAATGCTTGTTCATGATTCCTTCTTTCAAAGCTTTTCTTTAATAATAAATTATGCAATAATCCTTCTCCTAGTGAGAAGTGCATTCAGTATTGTAATTCTTACAATAAACTATTTTTGGCTAGTAGTCTCAATGCTGATTGCCTGGAGGCATAACACAAATATATCCTGAAGAAAACAGTCATTTGGATTAACAGTGCTGTAAGAAGCTCAGTTCTAGGTTACTCAATTCTGCCTCTCCCATCCCCAGTTTTCCTGCCCAAGGGTGTAACATGTCACTCTAGCCTGTGAAACAAGTGGCAATGGATGTGTATCAATGTATGCGTAAATCGCATTTTTTATGAAGGTATGATCTGTGCAGTGCCTGGAGAAGATGAACGTGGTCAAGATACACAACTCCTTTTGTGTATGTGTATCGTGTCATTGGGAGGATGTGATGTAGAAGCTCAGAGCAACCATATCCTCAAGAAAGCAGATCTGGGGATGTTTCAAACAGTGACAGTCCCACAGTTCATGGTCAATCTGTTGCGTTGCTGTATCTCCACAGGGAGAGCAGAGCGCTCAGCTTTTGTGCCTACAAGACACTGAGCCCGCTGAAATCAGCTGGAAATTAGGCAGATGCTAGAGACAGTCAAGTGGTTCATATTAAACAAAATTAATATAGAAGGAAATCCATTAAATGCCTCTCTCAAAGGTACACCTGACTTTCTTTCTCTCTTGTTTCTTTTTTTACACAGTGCCGGTCCTAAAGGAGATAACATTTATGAATGGAGATCTACTATACTTGGACCTCCAGGTTCTGTATATGAAGGAGGCGTTTTTTTCCTGGATATCACATTTTCATCTGACTATCCATTCAAGCCACCAAAGGTAAGAGTAAGGTTTTTATTGTGCTTATCATTTTTTCACATGTGAGAAGGATGTAACTTGCAGCGATTGAGTGCTCATTGCTTTCTGAATATCAAATGTGTTTATGGTCTCTTGAAAACTCCAAGGTCCAAAATCTTGGCTTGCAGTTTTCAGAAAAATCTTGTGTCTAACTGGTTTCCAAGCTTTACCAAGTGATAAATGGTAAGTGATAATTCTGATCAGAATTAAGATTCAAGACATTTTAGTTTTAGTAGAAGACCACACAAGACCTTCTTATGCTTCCTTCTTCTCATTCCAGTTACTAGAATATATGTATAATAAACTTTATGCTATTATGAGCCAGATTCTATATTATATATTTTCGTGTAATTTTTAGTAAAATAACATAAAGCTGAAGTAAGTTTAGATAGACAACTAGAGTGTTATATGGTGACTTCAAATTGGGTAAATTACTGTGATGATTTCCATTATTGTAAAATGTCAATCTATTTACTACTGGTAAGATCAGCAACCTTGTTTAATACTATTTTTAAGCAAAAGCTCTTCTTATTAAATGAAACTAATCTTAAACTGAAATTTAATTTCCATGCTTAGAAATAGTATGGACACTTAAAAATTATCAATTTACTAACGGATATCAAAGCAGTTAAAGGTTGTTCCCTTCTCCCCTCCCTGAATGCCAGATTTCAACTCTGACCAAGACACCAGAAAGAACACTGCTGGCATTCACAAAACCTAGATATATTCTACCACACAACATTTCTACAACTTTCAGCTCTCTTGGCTATAACATTATTATTATAAATCAGGTATATTTTTTCATTCTCAGAAGGATTACAGCACAAAGAATAATATACTCTCTCTATATTTCACACTCCTCTAAAACCCACAAAATTTAATATTCTCTTAATTAAGGTTGTTACAATGAAGTGATGCAGAGTTTTAGACAAGTTCCTCATGAAAATCTTGTATTTTTTTTTTAGAGCATGATCATTTTTGAATTTTCAGTAGTTTCTGAAAACACCAGGGATTTTTCCCCTCATATCAGTATGAAAAAGAAAATTTTTCTCATCTTATGCTTTATCTAATTAAAGCACTTAAATATTTCTAACTTCTTATTTGTGCAGAATAATGCTTAGATGCTCTACCAATATTAGTCTGAAAGAATTTAAAAACAAGGATGGAGTTAGTTAGTGTGATAGCATTCTTTTGGCTCTATATTATGTCCTACCTAATGAAGGGTAAGGCAAAGATATGATTGCTAATTATAATTGCTAAATAAGAACAATGCAATACTCCAATTTTAAATATTTTCATGGTCTATATTTAGGCTTTTGAAAGAAACACGCAGCCAAATTCTGTCTACTTTTTCACCTTCAGAAACCTCAGTAAAGTTACATTTGTTATTAGATAATTTTTGACATGCAATATGTTCATTTAGAAACATACATTACTACAAGTAGGTCCTAATTTTTGCACGTACCAGACAGAGGGCCTGTGTGAAAGCTGTTTATGCACCAAAGATCTCCCTGGTAGGTTTCTTAAAGGTAGCCATGACTACAGTAAATATGCACTCTCCTGTTAAATAATTGTGTTTTAGAAAAGGAGCAGAGACGAGCTGCCTCTGCAAAAGCTCTGCAGAATGGGAAGTGCCCCAGGTGCTGCTGCTGCTCATAGACAAGGGGCAGCGTTCCTGGACAACGCTGAATTACTCTTTCTGCTTCTCACACTGTGATTGCAGGTTACTTTCCGTACCAGAATTTATCACTGCAACATCAACAGTCAGGGAGTCATCTGTCTGGATATCCTGAAGGACAACTGGAGCCCTGCTTTGACTATTTCCAAGGTTCTGCTGTCTATTTGTTCTCTTCTGACAGACTGCAACCCAGGTGAGGAGCTGGTAGTTTACTGAGCATCCACTCTTAGTTGATTGACTTACTTGCCATGGAATGTCATTTGCATATTTGTTTGTATGCAGATTAAGTAAAAATATTTTTTAAATTGGGGATGAAACACTCCTATTTGGATGTGGTCCCACTTTTAATGGCGCTTTTCACTCCTGTGGCACAACAGAGAGTAAATAGCATTAAGCCCTTTTTTTCCCAAGGCATGGTGGAGAAAATAAGCTAGTGCCATCAAAGGTCTCTATTGCAGGAGCTCCAGCAAGTGAGTGGTCGATCCAGCAAAGTGACAAAGTTCTCTTGAGTTTTAGACTCATAAATCCCACAGGTCAGAAGGGGCCATAGGAAGTCCCTTCTCTTAAGACAGCAGTTGAAATGTTTAATCTTGCAACTGTGAGGGGGATAGAGAGATCTTTCCCTTTTTCAACGAGAGTTCCCTGTTCCTGTTGGGAGAGCAGGAACTCCACTAGAAGCAGTACAGCTTCTCAGCAATGAACGCTGATTGCCTGTGGTCAGGGCAGGAACCGAGCAGTAGTGCTGAGAAGACGCTTCCTTTACAGAAGACCAGTAACAATCAGGGAGAAACGGATTAGCCTTTGTGATACAAAAGTTCGATGACTCCTGAAGCAAACTGGATCCCCTAGGTGTGTGTCCTTCAGTGCTGATACCCTGACATAAGCCAGCCTTGTCCCAGCGCTGTGACAAGAGCGCCAGGCTGCGCTCGCTGAACCTCCCCTGCATCCAGCAGCACTCCTGGAGGGGTGAAAACAGGGGGCCTGGCTGGGGCACGATTCATTCATATGCGGATAACCACAACAGATTTTTCTGTTTTCTTTTTCTGTATATATCTCACAGTGTTTTCTGACCTAACAAAGTCTGTATTTTGGAATTGATTCTCTATTTTAAATCATCTGGGGTTTCTTTTGGTTTTGGTGGGTTTTTTATTGTGCATTATCTAATGCATCTTCTCCTGCCTCCTGCAGCTGACCCTCTGGTTGGAAGCATAGCCACTCAGTACCTGACCAACAGAGCAGAACATGACAGGATAGCCAGACAGTGGACCAAGAGATATGCAACATAAATGACAAACTACTTGTGCAGTGTGAAGGTGCAGAAGGCAACTTTGCAGTGTGCAACAAATCTTTATAGCCTTTACAATACGGACTTCTGTGTATATGTTATACTGATTCTACTCTGCTTTTATCCTTTTGAAGACTGGGATACTGCCCCCCAAAAAGGTAAATGCTATCAAGAGTAGAAATTTGTAGCTGTAGATTAGTTATGTTTAAAATGCCTACTTGCAAGTCTTGCTTCTTTGGGATATCAAAATGTATTTTGTGATGTACTAAGGATACTGTTCCTGAAGTCAACCAAATATTATAGTGCATTTTAGCCTAATTCATTATCTGTATGAAGTTATTAAAGGTAGCTGTAGATTACTAGGAATTATGTCATTTGTATTAAACCCAGATCTATTTCCAAAATGTGGTACATGCTGTTGTGAAAACTGTTTTAACTTTTACCTTTGTCAGTTTGTAATGAAAGGATTTTCTTTTTCCCTTTGTAGCTCAGAGAGCACCCAGTGTATCATCTCAAACACAATAAACATGTTCCCCAAGGAGTAGTTTCTTTGTTTTCCTATTTTAAATTAATATTTGAATAAATTTAATTATAGTAACAAGGCAGGGCCAATGTATCACAGATCCCTGTGGATAATATTTAAATTAATATACATAAGAAAAGGCTTGCTATTAAATGTTTAATGCACACCTGTGGATTGTTTAAGTTGTCCCTGTTTTTTTTTCAACTGAACAATTGCCATTTCTACAATTTCCTTAAATTTAATACTGTTCGGATCTTTCTCAAGTTGGAAGGAGAGCATTGCATATGCTCCCTCCAGAAATTCATGTAGCTGGTTGCTTCAGGACCAGTCCTGCTCCCATAATGGTCTGCCTGAGTCCTGCTACATACATTTTTTTGCAGGATGAAGGTCAAGTTAGAGATACTCTGGTGGTTTTGTTTCCGAGGAAAGCAAGTCAGACTTGCTGATCTAGAGAACTACAGTTACCCATTGAAAATGGTCTTCCAAAGCATAATTGAACACTGTATCATCTGTCCAGAAAAGAAAGTTGTAGAATAAATGTAATCAGATTTTTATAACATAAATCTAGTTGTGGGGAAAACGAAACTTTGTTAGTGAAAACAAAATCTGTAAAACTTTTAGACTATGTTCCCCCCACCCCCACTTCACTCTCTGACTTGGAAATTTTGTAACATCTGTAAGTAACAAAGATATACAGCTTTATAGTACAAACAGTTTAAAAATTAGAGTTACTGATAGTTTTATAATTTAAGCTTTTATAGGTTGCCAGTCACAATATTGATTTTTTAAAAAGAGACTTGATCCCTTTAAATGATTTTTTAAATTACACTTAATTTTAAACTTTACAGTCTCCCTTACTACCTGGTGTTTTTGGAAATAACGTAGCACTTCCATCAGTAAGATGTTCTGTTCATTTAATATATGAAAACTGAATGTTAAGTTTAAATATTAAAGCAATAGAAAAAATGTTGAAGATTAAATCTAAAGTTAGCCATCACTGTATAGGTCCCTGCTTTTTGTATCACATAATCTTTGGCCATGAATTGTCCACCCTACTTTAAATATTTCTACAGATTCCTGAAGGTGGCTTGAAGAACTGTGTATCCCAAATATCTCAACCTAGAAGCCAGTCTCTCTTGGTAGCTACAAGATAGCTTTAAAGTTCAGGTTATAAAGTGCAAAAGGGAATGAGAAACAGGGGATCTGGCAGATTGAATATGCCTCAGTCAGGTAACAGACTAATGCCAGGAGATGAAGTGCTGGAAATCACTGCTGAAGGTGACCAGAGTTCCTCACGCTGTCATTGGACATGTGAGGAATAGCACAGATTGGCAAAGAAACAAGGGGCACTCACATCGGGGCTGGACGTCCAAAGTCTGCTCATGCTGACCACTGGTGCACTCGGTGGGGCACAGTGCTCGTACACCATGCCAGTGACTTTCCAGCGAAGAGCAAACTAGGTATTTCACACCTTAGCTGTGTTGCCTACAGAATTTACAGATATTTATATCATAAAATATTATGGTATAAAAAGACAGGTTTTAATCCTAATTTTAATGTATTTTCGGTTTGTATTTTACCTACAACTTCAGATACCTAGGTGTACAAGTGGGATGCCTTGTTAGTGTTGCCCCATCTTGCCTTCCTTGCAATTGGATCCTTTACACTGAATTACCATCCTTTTTTTTGTTGGTTTGTCATGATTCTGTTCTTTTTTAATGTAGTTTTTTTTTGTGTGTAAATTTTATATTTACTGAAGTAAAGGTTGTTTTTGTGTAAACATTTAAACTTTAAGAAAAGAAAAGAGGCTAATTTTGTTTCTCAAGTTCTCTCTGCTAAACCATGCAGTAGAAATAAATTTGTATTGTTAAATAAATCAATTAGTTGTTAAATGAGAATGTGTGTCTGTTTTCATGGGGAGGGGAGAAATGCCTACTGGAAATATATCCAAAATACCAGTTGCAAAGAGCATCTGGTGTTTTCAAACTATTTCCTTCCGGCTGTGCTGGAGTGAATACCGGACACTACCAAAGTACAGCACTGATCCTATTTTACAGTTTTAATTTTTACTTCCAGCTTCTTATCTGGGCTCAGTATTTTGGGAAAAAGTGAACTGAAATCATGTTTTAGTGAAAAGACCAGAGAAAGATACTGCATATCCCCTCTTCCTCTCCATTTTGGATGGGCTTTTCTTGTTCTGTTGTCTTTGGGATCTGCGTGGGGAACACACAGCTGGCTGGGAAGGTGTCTGAACCAGGCTCTGTGATCTCATGGCACAAGAGGCGCTCGCGTGGGAGCCGCCTGTCGCAGCCTTTGAGCTGTGTGTGACACTGCTGAGGAGCAGCGAGGGACAAACCAGATGGGCAAACACAGACACATCTCTCTGCTTTTCGGCTGAGGTCTTAGCTACATTCCAGGCAAATATTTTGTCATAGCAAATGAGAAGAGATGGGTGAATATAAATGTATTAAGTATATTAAATACCATGGAGAGGCAAATATATATCAGCCCTGTTGTTCCTGCTCTGCTCCCTCCCTGCCTTTTGGTGGAAAAGGAAACTCTGCCATACATTGCTGCACACCAGCTCCTGCTCCAGCTTATTTGTGGCCATGGGTGTTGCAGAAAGTGAGACCAAGCTTCTCCCTTTGTTCACCTTCATGTGTGGGAACCAGATTTTTGGCTTCACAGCAGCATCTCAGATTGCCTGCATCACAGTGGAGAAGCTGCAGGGCTTGGGCCGAGGGCCTTTGTGCTGGCTGGGTGCAGCGCTGAGCTGCAGGGCAGCCCCAGCTGCCCCTTTACCGCGGCTGCCACAGTTTCCCCGTGGCCTTGCCCCAGACACCGCAGCGCTGTAGAGGAGGAAGCTGGAGACTGCAGCATTTTCTACGCTGATCTCGTGGTCTTCTGCCCCTGCGATTTCGTCTGCGTGGGTGCAGGTGATAAAGGGAGGACTCCTGACTCGAAGCTGAAGAGTGAATTTCATCTCTCCTGCATTTTCTTCAGCAAAACTCAGCACTGGATACTTATGTGAAAGAACGCGGGCCTGTGCAGGCATCCTGAACTAAAACCACTTCAAAGGACAGTGACAGTAGTGTGACTAAAGCGGGATTTGATTCAACCATAAACCAGCATTTTATTTCTGCAGCACATGCTATAGCCTGGGAAACATGCATTGGAGTACCAGGCGCTGCTTCGTGTACAGCATCCCTTCAACCTCTGCATGGTGGCGCCGCTGGTGTTTGTATCACATGGTGACTTCAGAGTCTGAACTACCCACCTCAACTGAAAGAGGCCGAAGAGAATCCCAAAACAACAGGAGAGATCGTGCAATAGAGCATGTGCTTTAAAGGGAGAAGTGAGGCAACAGCACGGCTGCTTGTGCTGCTGCATGACCTTGCTGATGTCGATGATAATTAGACATGTTCAGCTGTAGCTTAGGTGGAAGAGCAGATAATGCACTTGGAAGGTAATTGATGGAGCATTTGCAGCACATAGGAGCGTTAGCTTCTTTATCCTTAAAAAGGTAAACCTGCTTCAGTTTGCCTCCCCCCACCTCTATGCACGTGTGTCTCCTGGACTGCAGTTATTACTACCTCTGACTAACCCGATGTTGCTGGGTGCAACATATTAGCAACAATTTGGGGGTCCTTAAAAATAAGATTCTGCCAAGATTAGATAGAATAAGGCATAGCATGAAAAATATGCATATCTCAACCCCTCATGGTGACTATGTCTGAGCTCTGCATCTGTAGAGATGTAGGATGTGGTGGGACCACGTGCATGGCTAAAAGATTCATGTAGCTGTTTCTGCATGCATGGCTAAAAGATTCATGTAGCTGTTTCTTCGTTGCTGCTGCTGCTCTTCTGCAGGTAACGCGTGGGCAGCCCTGTCTGCTTATGTAGTGTAGTTTCCAAGTATTGGGAAACATTTTGTAACTTTGTTGTCCAAGATAAACATCTCTTTGAACCATCCTAAATGGTTACTTTCCGCAACATCATTTGATAGTGAATGCTACAGTTTAATTACGGACTGTGTGAAAAAATACTTTGTTAGTTACGTGACTATTTCATGTAACCTGCTATGTGAACACTTCATTTTATCTTTCCTAGTTTTGTACTGTGAGAAATAATGAATAATTGCATCTGTTCTCCTCCTTGATCCCATTTATGATTTTATGTACTGTTATTATTACCAGCTCCTAGTAGCCTCTTTTTCCAGGCTGGAAAGTCCTCATTTATTTAATCTTTCCCTGTGTTGAAGATGCTCTGGTGATCCTGGTCTCCCTTTGTCTGTACATTTTGTAATTCTGCTACAGCTAATTTAAAGTAATGAGGGCTGCATGCTGTATGGAAAAGGTGAACTCACAATTCAGCTGGAATAATGTTTTCTGGTTTGGTCTGCTTGCCAATTCATAGTACTCTGCCTTTTTGATCATTGCTTATTGCTTAGCAAATGTCTTTGTTAAACTGTTCAGAGATGGTGGAATCTCTTTTCTGAGCAATAGTTAGTTTAACCTTTTTTGTAGGTCTAACAAATTTGTCCTTACCAATATCTGCTGCTTTGTATTGATCATCATCAAATTAATCTGTGATCTTATCTCCCAGTTCTCAGTATCATGAAATCCTTTATGACTCTTGGCAGTCAGTTTTAGTTTAGTCTGCTGTGAATATTGACTCTGTGTGCGCACTGCATGCACCAGGGGTGGGAGGTAGCAGCAAAAGTAATAGCAAAGTGCACTGGACAGGTCTTGTCTGCCAAGAAGTGATGGGTCCCAGAGGACAAATTATCATCTGGCTTCTGAATGGCACAAATGAAAGCAGCTGCCAACTGTTTTCATCAGTCTGGGCTTTGTCTCCCTCTACAGAACAAATGTCAGGTCATTATTTAAAGAGGATCTCAGCGTGGGTAAATTTTCCAGCGTGCTGAATGAGCTGTCATCCTGAAGATTAGTTTTCTGGGATATCATATGGGTAGACAGCGGTGAATCGCAAATCCCGTGGGAGACCATTCCTCC